CTGCATATTTACATACCGAATTTACCCTTGAAAGCTGTATAGTAAATATGTCAATTACAATGTAATTTATAATATTAATCTGGCAGACGGCTAAAACGGCATACATATTAGGAATTTTATATGTTGACAGAGCCATCTGGCAGGACTGGGAGAGGCTTGTTTGTGCACACTGGAGTTTTCGTTTCTATACATATAAAAAAAAAAAGTAAAGTAAAGATTCCTTTTCACGCCCTAGGCGCGTCGGGCATATGGCAAGAGCACCCGTATTTTTACAGACCAATCGGCACTAGGTGGGTAATGTGGTCAGCATTATGCCGGCCGACTTTACTTCCCCAGGACATGCATCCTGGTACCCATCTAAGGCTGGGTCGTCCTGCGACGCCCCATACCCTGATAAAAATCAACACAGCCCGCAGTGGGTTTCGATGGCGGTATGTTGGAATTACGTAACGCCTACGCCACGGACGCCGCTTTCTATACATATAGCAAATGATAAATCGATTTTATTTTTCAAATACTAGCTGCAATCACATAACATATGTGTAATTGCCTACATTCACTAACTAGTAATTAAATTTGAATATTTATTGCTGTTACCACGACATATGCCAGTTTTCTCTATTATTTTCTTATGTAGTTATATTAATTAATTGAAAATAATGTTGTTTACTAATGAAATCATATGTTTTTGTATGTCTGTCTGTGTGTCCGTCTGTCTTTCTGACTATCTGTCTCTGTCACTCTTTCTTCTCTCTGTCATTACGTCAATCTTTTCCGACTATTCTCTGCATCCCTAAATATAAATATGTCCCAAATACAGCATATGAGGGCAACACTTTTGGTTAAGAGATACACCAGTGCCAAACTTCACAGGTCTCTAAGAGAATTACAACAGACAGTGAAGTTATATATATAAGTATGTATATTGTCGTCAGGGTCCTCCTTCCCCATCCCCTCCTATAATTTTTTCCTCATCCCCATACTCCCCTCTTAATCTCCCCCACTCCCCCCAAAAATGCAAGTCTTTTATGTAGGTTATTACTTTGGAAGCCCGACATAAGTATCTAAGTATCTCTCACTCTGTCTAGATATGTCTGCTTCTATGACTACCATTCTTCCTAATCACTTCATCCTATGTCAAACGTCCCCAATTGCCGGACGGTTCTCTACCCCCAGTTCCGCCCCCTCTGATAGCAATACCGCCTCTGACAACAATACCGCCCCCTGACAGCAATACCGCCCCCCTGACAGCAATACCGCCCTTCTGACAGCAATACTGTCCCCTTACCATCATCGATCGGATACAGATGCTGCCAATCTGGCAGTTAACCAAGATCTTCAGGAGATTACACTTGACAAGCAATCTTGTATTAGCTAATATGTGCGTCCAGACAACAGGCAACATTGGGCGATCAATAAATATTAGACTCGACACGACTCATTTGTATAATCTGATTTCTATTGTAGTCACTGGGACCCGAAGAGCCCCTCGTCACTGGAACTCGAAGAACTTCTCGTTTCCCTCGCTTTAATCGTCCTCATCATGTACCGCCCCTGTAAGTGTAGGCTGTTATGGTTCGCCATTTCATGCGATCACCAGAATCCCGGATCAGGTCTCGCAACACCCATGCTGGCCAAGACATCCAGGTATTTATCTCCTACCTCACTCTCTTGCCCACTTTCTATCAATCTGGCCAGCTGTCACAGCTCTTGCGTCCAGTCCTTCTCATAGCAGGTCCAGAAACGCACAGACGGTCTATGTTTATTTGGTCTGATAGGTTTACAACACACAGACAGATCTTTTGCCTGGAATTACCAGTACACAGATATATTGTCTGGAATTACCAGTAGACAGATATATTGTCTGGAATTACCAGTAGACAGACATTTAGTCTGGAATTACCAGTAGACATATATTTTATCTGGAATAAAGGTAGACAGATATTTTATCTAGAATTACCAGTAGACAGACACTCAGTCTGGAATTACCAGTAGACAGATATATTGTCCGGAATTACCATTGACAGATATTTAGTCTGGAATTAGCAGTAGAAAGATAATTAGGCTGAAATTATCAGTAGACAGATATTTAGTCTGAAATTACCAGTAGACAGACATTTAGTCTGGAATTACAAGTAGACAGATATATTGTCTGGAATTACCATACACATATATTTAGTCTAGAATTACCAGTAAACAGATATATTGTCTGAAATTACTAGCAGACAGACATATTGTCTGGAATTACCAGTAGACAGATATATTGTCTTGAATTACCAGTAGACAGATATATTGTCTGGAATTACCATAGACATATATTGTCTGGAATTACCATAGACAGATATTTAGTCTGGAATTACTAGTAGACAGATATTTAGTCTGGAATTACCAGTAGACAGATATATTGTCTGGAATTACCAGTAGACAGATATATTGTCTGGAATTACCAGTAGACAGATATATTGTCTGGAATCACAAACTGACAGATATATTGTCTGGA